GGTGTTGTGGACATTTATGTTTACGTCAACTACAAGGAAAGTGCTCCAAATTTAAATGTTTCCTTGTTTATTTCCTACTTTATGTATAACTAATTGTTGCTATAGACAATATATTGCTCTTTTTGCTCCGGATCATATAATAATTACATAAATGTTGCAAATTCTGACCATTAGTCTGATTATTTGATCTGATCCTTTGTAGCTCACATCCTATCATAGTAAAAGATGGATCAACAATACGAATCGTTATTCAGTATGAATTTTAAACTCATAACCGATATTTTTGTATTTAACATCTTATTAAAATATGTCAATACTAGCTGACACTGCGACTCCGTCTGCTTGGAATTAAAAAAAAAAGGTAGCCAATGTTTTCTTTCAGACTATGTTCTACATCTGTGGCAGTCTCATCGAGATGCGTTGAGCCGTTCTGGAAATACCTTCTAACATCTATCCATCCATCTTTAGCATTTATATTAGTAAGATGCAGTAAATATCTTAGTGATTATGAAATTCCGAGAATTTATCTACAAGTGGTGAATGGGTAGCCTTTGTGTTAAAATTAATATTTCCTAGTTAGGGAAAGACTCATTTTACGTTCGGGGAAATTTTCCTACTGACATTTATTCTTTGCAATTTATTATTTAACTTACATTACAAGGTGGGGTGAGGGCACACTGTCGGGTTTCCCTCCGGGCCAATATTCGGAAGTGGGTCGGCAGGGACCGTCCGGAATGGCGTCCGGTAGGAAACCAGAAACAAAAGCTTCTATCAAGGTTAATCAAATTTGTCCTTCAAGTCAATAAAATTTTTGATTAATGTGGAACAATGAAGTGGAAATTAGACTTATGTATATATTATTTTTTTGCAGTAGAATAAGTTATTTGTTTTACTTAAGGTATATAATTTCGTAGGATAAGCACATTTACCTAGTTGTTAATTACAAAAAGTACAATCCTAACTAACACTTGATCTATAACACACCAAATACATATTAAATTCGGCTTAAATAATAGGTTCATATAGGTAAAAATAACTACATGTGATCGAGTAAAAATAAAGCTTTTTCTGCTCTTTATGAGTAAAAGTGGTACAATCTGATATTCTTAGTACCTTAAAGTATTGTCGGTTTATTATATAGTATATCCATTATTATTAATAACCAGCGCTACACGCAACGCAACCGGTACCCCACGTCACTGTAGCGTCGTGAATAATTCATCCTTGCGCGGCCACGACTCGACACAATGCCTGTCTGTTTGGTCATCACCGCGGAACGCGCACGCTCTACGCACTTGATTCTTAAACGCAACGAAGTGCGTTTATTCCGATACAACAGTGAGTTTTCAATGACACAACAATTGGACAGTAAGTTACTGATGTTCTTGGGGTTGACAGGAATAAATCTGTACCGCTAGTCATGAAGTTGCAGAAAACTAAATCCATATAACTAACATTTGTTAAAAAAACATTGTTATGTTGTTTTATCAGACAATGAGACGGATTAAAATGTGTTTTTGTACTGATGTTACGCAGCGAAAACAATGGAAAATCATAAACTAAATGTGTTTTATAAACATTCTAATTCTAAACGTGTTTAGGTTTGTTTGATCGACTTCCGATCGACTGGAACGCAAATCAAATGTTTAGTAGAAACATCACGGTTATTGGTTTTAGATGTGACTTTAAATCTAGTATTTACTAAAAACAATTGAAAGTAATGCTTATTTACGTCGCCACAATTCCAATTTAATATTATCTTTCAAAATAATCAATGTTAAGTCATATCTGATGTGTAGATATACTCAACTGTTGGTTACATAATCGATGTTTAATACATTCATAAACGCTCGATTATCTACGTGTCGTGATTGCGTTTTAAACGGCCCATAAGGTGCAAGATATCAAAATGTACACACTTAGTTATAAACATGGCTGCGTCAGAGACGGCAATGAACGTCACACTGTCCTTATAGGGTTAACACGTTCAAAGCTGTAGTTTAATTAAGATTCAAGCTTTAATCGTACTAATATTATAAATGCGAATGTTTATCGCTAGTACGGCTGAACGGATCTTGATGAAATTTAACGTACATATAAAACAAAGTTTGGAAGAACACATAAGCTTCTAAATAACTTTTTTTTAATTCCGTGCAGACGGAGTCACGGGCGACAGCTAGCTTTTATTAAATTACTGCCGAGTCGTTTACTTTATGTGTTTTTATTTCTCTAAGATTCCCTTAGTTACCAGACATAATATTAAACATAGATCAGTTCTGAAAACTATTATAAAACAGTACCAGTCTTTATGAAACTTGATGTTTTTGGCAACCCTAGCTGTAAAAGAAGCTGCCCAAATGTACAGCTGACATTGACTTACGCAATGGCTTATTTGTCGGGAGCAATGTACCGGGTTAACGGGTCACCGAATCGGGCACGCCCGCGCAGTATCGATGTTGCCTAACTAGCCACGCCTTGGTATTTAAGTATTTTGTACTAAATATAATTGTCAAGTGGTACGTTTAGCGTAAAGAACAGGAATGCTAGAAATAAGTTAGAAATTACAACTTTATCCATCGGACTCCTATTCCAAAAGTCTATCAAAACGATCTAACTTATGTGTTTGTTAATTGTGAAAATATCAGTGTGTTTTAAAAATTGTGACCGATTTAAAATTAATTTGTTCCATATAAAAATGAAAGGACTCGTGTGTTTGTTTGGATGGTGTCAGTAATCTTGCACAGCTGTCCGAAGTGACGGCCGTGGAGAATGCACGCTTTGACTGACAACTATAAATACTCTGCTCGTATTCATGGAGCTTTAAAATGTCATACAGTCATGCTTTGTTCCTCACTTTGAGTAGTTCAGAATATGCAATGACTGATTTGCATTTGACCGAACAGTAACTTTTTAAGCAATAAGTAATAAAGTAAGTCACCAATTTATTAATACCAAAAAGGTTTACGATACGCTATATCAACTTTTAAAAGACCTTTTAAATGAGTTTGTCATATCTTCCTCATTCTACAAGATTTAAGTTTTGGAAAAATAACTTAAAGGTAAAATTGCTTGTATATAACAGTACTTCAAAGTAACATTTGATATCTCGACAAAGTGTATAACAGTTGTGTCCGTGCAAATGGATGTTTATACAACTGAACTGTTGTTTCCTCTCGTGAAAACGTATTGAATTACAAAGCGATGTTCGTGGTGGGCAGGCTGGTGACGTCATATGTGGTCTGACGTCACGCAGGCGAGGTCGCCGGGTGCACGTTGCGTGTTGCACGCTTTCCGCACTTCCGCCTTGCACCGACATACGTCATATTAGTTGCCAAGGACAGTTTTTAAGGACATCTCGTGATAGGTCGCCCTAGTTTATACCTGTTATCGTAATCGCTAACCTAAGTATAGAGTAGTAGGTATAAGGTAATTCCATTGTCAAGAATTACAATTAAAATTATCACTATTAAAACAATAGTTTTTAATTACAGAAATCGTTATTTACCTATTAGACATTGTTATAGTTTTTATTGAAAACTATCTGTCGCCCACGACTCCGCCCTCGCGAGATTAAAATAAAAGTCCTTAAAGGGTTTTCCCGGCAATTATTCTCACTTTTTGAACCTTTTCTAGATCTCCACGTACATTTCAAGACCAAGATAAGATGAATCCGTTCAGCCGTTCTCGAGTTTTAGCAAGCAATTGATTTATATAATAGATTATTATTATTACAAAATTCAAACTCTATGTAAATCTTTATTCTATGGAAGCATAAAAAATAGGGTAAGGAAATTTTATTAAACGATATTGTTTTGTTGATGAAAGTACCTACTATTATATTTTATTAACGATGTCCGGAGTCCGTGATCGAAATTGTTTACAGAACGTTTATATTGTTTACGTAAAATTTTGCAGATCATTTTTATTCGTTATTATTTTTATCAGCTATTACAAAAATATATATTTGAACTATATAATATGATATTTATTATGTTAACGTTTTTTATACCTTCTCTTCTGTTTGTAGCTTTATTAAAATACTTAACAAATAACATTTGTTCTTCACTTTGTGGCAAGGTTTATGTAAACATATTCAATATGATTACATTCTTAACAAGCTTATTTAAATTATAATAAAAGCCTTTTAAATTCCACGAAGGTGAGCACTTAATATAGTAAAGCATACATGGGCTTATTGGTTTTCCTCGGTAAAAGCCTGCCGACGTAAGTGTAGGGGAAATGTAATTACAGGAGCCGGAGCGCGTACCTCTGTGTAAGAATACATGAGAGGAAATGTTGCTTTATTAAATGTGAAGTTTGTTCAGACATTTTAATATTATCTTTAAAAATAAGCGACAATCATAGTGATCAGTTCATATTAATTTTACAAACAACTCTATGTTATATCTAAGATATTTTCTTACTTAATTCTATTTTAACTTTTAATTAAACGTTGAAATCTTGAGCGTAATTAAATCCTCTGAACGGTAACTCAATACGTTTAAAGACGTTATACCTGTAGAGTTGACCTCGCGCAGGTACTGGTAATCTCCGATGATACGGATCCACTTAGAGTTGTTAATACCCACTTTCATTACAAAGAGAATACTCTATTAGGGAGTTGAGGGCTTTATCTAAACGTTATTTAAGTCTTAATACTACATATCTTGACGAGATCGGGATTATAAGACGATCTTGTTTCAAATTATTGTAACGAATTTCATAACAAAATTTATTAATATACATTTATACGATATAAAAATATTTTTATAGAACTAGGTCTTATAGACTTCTATTATATACATCCATTAGGAACTACATCTCTGCTATATTTTGTACCAAAGGTATAGGAGGCAGACCACTGCCGAAACACTTAGTCTATAGGTAATTGTGTTATTTTTAATAGAAGAGGAATTAATGTTTTGAACAAGCATATCGGCAGTGGAAACCCACAGTAATATGAGAGTATGTTTATGTAAGGCCCTTTTCGTTGTCAACAGGTGGATGCAAACGGCGCGCGCGCGCACGCTTACCGGACCGCGCCGCCCTGCCGCCATTTAGAACGTAAGTTATTACTTCCTCTAAAATTCATTGTCGTAGGCTCATATACGTGTCGCCCCTATGGGTTGAGTGTTCCCGAATTTTTAAAGTGTACGTTGGCAAACGAACAAACAGTCACCCTGAATTAGCGAATCGACCGCTGCCCAAAGACACCCACCCGCATTTGCAGATGCGTTTCTTACCTTTATTCAACAGAAAAGGGAAGCTTAGAAATAGGATATATCCCCTACCTATTCGTACTTTACTCTATAGAAATATGTATATACTGTAAAGTCTTAAGCTTTTAAAAAATCTTCTACGATGATTTGCAGTTCTTTGATAGTCTCCTGAGTACTACTTCGCAGTAAAAACGGTGTCAGACGAGTAATCTATCACTACGCGATATTTACTCTCGACAGAATGACGACGAGAATACGGGAGCTAGGGACGAGCTCTGAATAACTAAACAGGAACGATATGAAGATAGATTCAATCGTTTTATATTAATTTAGATACATTTGAAAGTAATCAATATTTAAGTTGACTAACCGTTGTTTTCTGAGACCAAAATCTCTGTATAAAATATATCGTCATCTCTGTCATTATCTTTGACAAAACAGAGATAGCAATATGTTTTAAATGGGCCTCAGAAAACCATAGTTATTGGAATAGATTTTGCTACCTTTTTTCATAAAACAGAAAATGAATCTGTACTTTGTACGTAATATTGAACGAAGGAGTGTCTTTTCATTAAAATATTCATTAATTTACACAAGCAATGTTTAACTTGCTTAACAAAACATGATTCTCATTAAAACGTACTGCAGTCGTGTTCCCATTTTCATTCATCATTTTGTATACCTTTCTCTTCACCTAACAAATACTGCGCTTTATGTAGCTTATAAATAATATTCGATATAATACTCCTTTGAGTGTCACAAAATGAAAGAAATTTTGTAATTTCTTCCGAATACCTTTTAGAGAATGAATTCTATTTGGAATACATTTAGAAAGAATTTTGAGGGTATCGAATATAAAATCAGCTTTGATTCTGTGAATTACTTAAAGGTAATATCTTTCACCGTATCTCGTAAAGGCGTGGCTTCGTTTCCTAAACGGAATACGATGTGGGGTAACTGCGAACATATCTGTAAATCTACACAGAGATGAACTTCGTTGATTTAGAATGTTCGATGTCAAACTTTGGAATATATCCTGAACTCACGTATTTATTACCTAACTAGCTGAAGATACAGACGTTGTCCTTGTATGAATATTGAATATGAATAATAATAACAAATCGTTTATTACGGAAACAAAAGTATGGTTACATTACAAAGTAGTAGTACGCCTGGTTTCTAAACTAGGTTCTAGACCCGTTTTATAGGAGCCAGGACTCTTTCGTCTTAGTGATATAGTTTAAGTAAAAGGTTAGTAACATTATAATATTACTTGCATTACTTAGAAAAAAAATAATTTATAATTCAAATAGCTTAAATATATGTGCGTGTATGTATATGTGTGGATGTATATGTTTGTGGATGTATGTATGTTTCTGTGCGAAAATGGATGGATATAAAGGATTTTTAAAGGCTGGGTCAGGGTAAATAGATATGCAAATTTTTCATTAAGACAAAATTAACTTTATATTTTTCAATTTAACTTATATAATTATTTTGTTCACATTTAGTTTTCTATTTCATAAAAATATGCGAGGGCGTGGGTCTTTCGGCGAAACGTTTGGAGCGTCCTAAAGCTTTATTCTGATTTAAGTTTTCATTTTCTTTTGCAATTCTTCTAAACAATTTGTAATTTAAAGTTGTTCTCAAAAGTTTGATAAAATAAATTTTCCTAGAAAAGTTTTAAAAGGTTGTTACTGTGATATTTCACTATTAAAACATTATTAAGTTAGCATTTGGTAAAATTATGGTTAAGATAATCCAACGACACCAATTATCGCGATTATAGAGAACCAATTTAATTAATTGGTTTTCTTCTAATCTCAACGATTATTGATTAATAATTATTATTATTTTCTGTTCGTATATCTTACTAATATAAATGTGAATGTTTGGATGGATGGATGTTTGTTTGAAGGTATATAGATGTAGAATATAGTCTAGAAGAACACATAGGCTACTTGTTACGTTTGTTTTTAATTCCGCACGGACAGAGTCGCGGGCGACAGCTAGTATTTATATAATAAACAAATTGAGATGTAGGTCGGCTGTGACCGTTTTATTTAATTAAGGGGCGTGTCCTCAATTTGGGTAATGGGTCTGTTATTTGGGTCCAGGCTTTTCGATAATAAATCCGCATTTCCTCTAATTATCACATGCTTTTACTTTTGGTAGCATTAACACCATAGAATAGAAAATAAAACTAAACGATAAATGTAAGGGAACAACATTAGTATTATTATCAATCGTAATACTGTCTGTTTTCTTCAGATTAATTTAAGTATAATTCACTGCGAGCTCGCTTTTCTAAATTAATTGAAAACTTAATCAGTAAGCTTCATTACGTAAATATTCCTAAGTGAAACAATACCTATGTTAGTTTATCCAAAATCTTGAAACTAAATGAAAAGCTGTATAGATTTTAGTTTATTTACTGTTGGTTTCTGAGATCCAATCTATGTATTAAACATGTTGTCATCACTGCTGTGTGACAAAACAGAGTTAATAATATTAAACATTTTCACTATTTAATTTCTATTTGTATATGCCTTAGATATATGATTTTATGTTTAAACGTTCAACATAGTACGAAGAAGGTTAAATAACCAATCAAAGTGCAGATAAGAAGTCGTTACATCTCGACTAATTACAGAATCACATTACGTTCGTCTCGTAATTTGTGAATCGACGCACGTAAATAACGAGCATATAAACATACGCATTAACGAGTCACCTTCATACAAATCAAGCTGATGCAAAGTAAACTTAATGATTAATGACACAAAGCTTGTTTTTAAATATACGAAAACGTGAGAAAAACTTTAAACAGTTTTCACGAGCAGTTAAAACGTATACTGTTTAATGAAGCTAAGATAGCGTTATTTGTAATCATTAGCGGCAATTAAGCTAATAGCTTGATTAAAGCTATAAATAGCGGAAAAGATAACGCTTAACGTTTTATCTTTGCTGAACGGAGGACCTTACGTAATGCGCCGAGAATGGAGGACACGATAAGCGATAACACGTCAGAGAAGAGGCCCCTCGCATTGCGTCCACGGTTAGTGTTCATTTGGCGACAGTTGTATTACGCAGAAACAAAATTCCTTTCATTACTTTACGTTCTCTCATTTAGTTGGGAAGCATATGCTCGTTACATATTTCTCTACTTCCTAAAATAATATTCGTCATCATCAGCTCACTATGCGTTCCCACCGAGAGGCTCGGAGCCTACCCTAAGTTCAGGGTGATTAAGCCATAGTCAGCCACGCTGGCTGCGGGTTGGTTGACTTCACACATATCTTTGAATTTCTTCTCAGATATATGGAGGTTGCATCACGATGTTTTCCTTCACCATAAGAACGTCCGATAAATGTACATATGTCAATCGGAAATCGAAAAACACATTAGTACATGGAGGGATTCGAACCCAGGACCTGCAGATTGCAAGTCAAGTGCTTGACCCCTGAGCCACCGACGCTCTTAAAATAATATTAATCAAATCCAAAGCATGTAGGTTATATATTATGGATCTCGGACTTGATTTTCAAATTATCCAGACTGTGGTAATTTTCTCTTTAGCAGATATTTTCGAAATAAAAGTGTTGAAACTTTGTTTGAATTACATTAATGAGGTATCGTCGCGTCGCTCGTCTTTTGAACCCTTCGTACTCAATTCAGTTTCAAATTCAAGGACTTTGAATAATTTGAGATGAGAGGTATAAGGTTTTTGTCATATTTTTACGTAAAAAAGAAACTTAAAAGTATTCTTTTAAAAAGAAACTTAACCTTCTTAGAATATCTTAGAATAAAAGACGTCAGTATCAATTTGTTATCAACGATACAATAAAAGTCTTTAGGGAATCGTCGAAATAGAATGTCGATGTTAAACGAATCGGAAAGACGGATCCGCAGATTTCTCTCGACAATTATACTAATGAAACCTACGAAAAAAATGTTTTCGCCGAAAAAAAAACTAAAATTGTTTTCGTTCCAATATCTCTCTAGTGCTTTGATATAGCATTTAATATAATGTCCTGACTTCATTTGTTGCCATCATATGTTCCAATTCCTAAGTGAACTGTTTTAATTATTATGCGCTTGTATTTAAAACCAAAAAGAAATCACTTGAGAACCTATTTATGATTTTTTGAAAGTCATGATATAACTATAAGAACGGTAAAGGCATCTTTCAATATTAAGCTTAGTTTTAGCGTTATTGAAAATATTAATACAAAAACTTCTACGAAGATCATAAGACGATCATTGGAAAGAAAACTTAGTACCAAAGTTTTAATTGCAAAACTCCGTTGGCTGAATGTGTTTCATATTACTTCTAATTTTTCTCACAGGATTTTTTTATTAATAGCTAATAAGAAACACAATGACATCACTAATTATCACGTATTAGATATGTGATTCTATCCAATTAGATTTATTTCTTCATAAGTTCTATTATACCGAATCACATATACAAAACATCCTTGTCGTTCTCTTACAAAAAAAGCAGATATGTTTTTGAATAGTACGTCCAAATTAGAAACTTACTATTGTAATATTAACCATTATGAAAGTGATTCAGATATCCATTAAATCGATATATGTAAGTCGCGATACCGTTACGTTTATCATTGAAATTTTGCTACCAAGCTTCGATGTAATTACACGAAACAGTTTTTAAACAAGTATCTATGTTCAAAGGCAACTAGATTACGTTTAGCGTTCCAAGAAATTGTATATCTACGTCAGATCGACCCACGCGAAATGTAAACGGAAGTTGAGCTAAGATGCTCCGTGCAATTACCTATTACTCTTTTAAATATACTAATAAAGAGTTTAATCTCGAGC